GACATAAACATTTCGGAACCTAGCCAACAGGACATAACCTTTGGTACAGTGTGTTCAAAGGGACATCGGCAACTCTGTGCCGGAAATCGTCATGGCGAGGATTGTACAATAGTCGCGGCATTATGTCGCCCAAGGAATAAAGTAGTCGTCAGCCCACTAGGATCGGACATGGCAAAAGAGGTAACGATCCATCGATTAATATACTTCGACCACGAAAATACGAGAAGTCCATGTGTGAGGGGTTGCACCACAACGGTCGGAGCGCTGTGTCTGTGGCCAATAGAGGGTGCAGCAATCAATTCCGCCTAATATCAACATCCCGATGCCGTTCGACGATGCAAGCCCTACAACTTCAGCCTCTTCGGCCAACTTTTCGACGCATTCTGCAATGCAATAACGGAAGATTACACGGCGTAAACTTATTTCCGAGGTTACTTCCGGCAAATCAGAGTGCGTTGAGAAACCAAGTCATTCTACGTGCGAATCTCCTTGGACTTCGCGGAATACAGCATCGTTTATGTTCGCGGCACAAACCGGCTTTCGAGCTCACGGCTTGACGACGAAGGGGGCCTACTTCTGTATCCGATCTACAGCTTCCAGACCGCCTCTCATGCACCTACAAAGACGACAATAGTCAATCTGTATTGCTTCTTCTCCCAGCCACAATGTTTTGTTTCCTGTTTTGATCTGCAATTCGCATCCATTATTGGATCCTGATATTGCCACGTGTGGTCCTCTTAGCTGAAAATGTATAGACGCAAGATGCAGGCCAAACCTGGGAGATACTATATTACGCAGAGCAGCCTCGCATGCAGGTCGGAGGCCGGGGGTAGTATCCGGCTATATCTCAGCATGCCAATTCCGGTGACCCAGGCCTACAAGACCAGCATCGTTCCGGAAACGTTGCAATTGGTGAACGTCATGGCCGTCTTTTGAGAGGTTATATCAAGGGCCAGGATCCCGATGCCAAGCACTCGACTTTTGACTGCGTTGCCAACCCCTTTCCATAGCCTCGATCCCATATACGACACGGGCACCGGTATCGCTCCGAATCAATCATCATGCGTTGGCTGGCACCTGTTCTTCTCTTCGGCCTCGCCAGTCTTTCGACTGCGCACGACAGTGGCCCCGTCCCCAAGTTTCTTGGCGGACGCAAACTGCTGTCCGGATTGAGGAGCAGAAAAGAATTGGAAAGAAGAGTATCAGGAGCTCGATTCGCTCATGAAACCAAAGACTTGACTGGGCACAATAGTGAGGATGAAAGTTCGGCCATCAGCTCCCGTGCCAACACGAGTGGGAAGTGCGGTCCGAACCGTGGAACTTGTGCGGCTGGATATTGCTGCTCTGTTGAAGGGTGAGGATCCCGATCTATTTATTACTCGCACGCACCTGTCCGTCGTAAGACACCTGCTGAGAATCAATCAAGGTGGTGCGGTTTAGGCATCGACTATTGCGAGGCTCCAGATTGCCAACTCAGCTACGGCCCTGGTTGCGACGGAAACTCCAAACCAACCGGAGTCGACACTTCGACTATCGCGCGGCCGAAGGTGGGAAGTGTCGAATATGGTGGTGTTGGCATATATGACTGCGTCAATGCGGGCGACATTGCCATGACCTTTGATGACGGCCCCTGGAACTACACCAGCGACCTCCTGGATAAGCTCAAGGTGTGCTATGTCTACTTATGCGTCATGGTTCGACACTTGGTTCTAACCTCTTGTATAGACTTGGAACGCCAAGGCGACTTTCTTTATTACGGGCAACAATATTGGAAAGGGTCACATCAACGATCCTGCTCTTCCGTGGCGGGCCGTCATCCAGGTATGAAAGCAAAGTATTTGCACATGTGATGATGCCAAAGTGCTAAGAAGGAGAACAGCGAATGGCTGCAGAAGGCCACCAAATTGCCAGCCACACTTGGTCGCATCAAAATTTTAGTGATGTAACTACGGTTCAGGCTCAAAACCAAGTGTTGTGGAACGAGATCGCATTCAATGATATCCTGGGCTATATCCCAACATATCTGAGGTCAGTCATACTTGCATGAGAAGTATCAGGATGTGACAAGATTCATATACCTTGAATACTTGCTGACATCGCATGAAAGACCACCATTCTCCATATGCGAGAGTGATTGCGAGGACTTGTTGGCAAAACTTGGGTACCACATCATTTATTTTGATCTGGATACAGAGGGCTACCTCTACGACGACCCGACAGAGGTCCAGATCTGCAAGGACATCTGGAACGAGGCCGTGGACAACTCGGACGCCTGCGACGACAACTTCCTGCACATCGAGCACGACATCCACTACCAGTCCGTATACAACCTGACCGACTACTTCCTGGCGTCGCTGTTCGAGAGCAACTATCGCCCCGTCACCGTTGGCGAGTGCCTGGGCGACCCGCCGGAGAACTGGTACCGCGCCGGCAGCTCGTCCGTCCCGGCCTACGACTTCCCCGGCGCCACGCCGACGAGCCCGAGCCAGTGCGAGGAGTCCTCGACCTCGAAGCGCACGGCCACCGCCCCATCCCCGACCGGCGGCTTAGTTGTGAGCGAGGAAGGCGACTGCGGCAACAACGTGACCTGCGTCGGCTCCGAGTTCGGAAACTGCTGCTCGCAGCACGGCTATTGTGGCAGCACCACCGACTACTGCGGTGACGGATGCCAACCCGAGTGGGGATCCGGCTGCCTGAGTGCCTCCTCCTCCTCCTCCTCGTCTGTCCCGGCCACCACACCACCTGGTACCAGCACCTCAAAAACGTCTACCACTAGCCCGTCGTCGACTCTCAGCTCTACTACGACAACGAGCAGCGCCGGAGTAAGTACCACACCACCGTCCGCTCCAGCCCCGCCGCCATCCACAACGTCGCCCGGCACCACCAGCACCAGCACCCGAACCACCTCGACAAGCAGCGCGGCGCCTCCGGCCGAGACTAACCTGGTCCCTAGTAAAGACGGATCGTGTGGCAAGGGCACCGGGTATACTTGCCTCGGCAGCGACTTTGGCCTGTGCTGTACTTCGGGCAACCGCTGCGCACTCCTGTGTCTGCTGACGGGGTGTCAGCCTGACTACGGTACCTGTGCCGTGCTCATTGGACCCGAGTAGCGAGAGGGATGTGGATGTGGACAAGATTTCGCGGCGGTCTTCCCCAACGATTTGGAAAAATAAAATGAAGAAAACGTACAGGTTGATGATGTACTGATGTGGCTGATCCAAATTGAAATAATTGTTGTCGTGATAGAAAAGGATAGGAAAATCGAAAATACATTACCGCAACAATCATGCCAGGGCTGCCATAATCCATTACCTTGAACACATGGAAAACAAACGACCGACATCCTTGAGTTGGTTGATATGAAAATATTACAAGAAAAGCACATCACTCCAGGGGCTTTATGATCAAAAATGAATCACATGATCTATAATCTCTGGGTTTAGTGCTGAAGCACGTTTTCTTTCTATATCTATCTCTCATGACCGGGGAAGCTCGAAACTCCCGCTCAGACCAGTGGCGAGCAGGTAAATGGTGCGCAACATGGGCACGGCGACGCCCTTGTCCCTGGCCGTCTTGACCACGTTGCCGACAATGGCCTCGACCTCGAGGCTCTTGGACGAGAAGGCGTCCGACAGCATCGACGGCTGCACCCCGGGCGGGCTCCGCACCACGGCCCGGCCGATCTGGAAGTCGACCAGTTCCTCGTCGATCTGGCTGTAGCCGCACGCCTGCGCCACCGACGCGATCTCGAGCATCACGTCCCGGACAAAGGCCCGCGCCTCCTCCCCGCCGGCGTCCAGGAACTGCCGGTCGCGCAGCCGCGCCAGCGCGCAGATCGGGTTCCACGACGCGTTGACGAGCAGCTTGGACCAGCGCTGCTCCTGGACGTCGTCGTGCAGCTCGGCGGTGGCGCCGGCCGCGCCCAGCAGGTCGACGAACCGCGCCGCGGCGTCCTTGGCTTCCTGAGAGGCCTCCGCCGGGTACGTCCCGACGTGCAGGAGCTCGACCTCCTTGTGCTCGACGACGCCCGGGCGGACCTGCGTCGCCGGCAGGTACACGACGGTGCTGACGACGGGGTTGTCCGGGAACGCGGCGGCGTACTCGGCCTCGATGCCGATGCCGTTCTGGATCAGGACGATGGCCGTCCCCGGGCCCACGGCTGGCCGGATGAGCTCGGCCGTCGACGGGCTGGTCGCCAGGGCCTTGGAGCACACGAGGATGTAGTCAAAGGTGGACCGCGCGCCCTCGGACGCCGGCGACTGAACGGCGTCCGCCGCCGACTTGGCCACCGCTGGTCTCACGTTGAGGTTGTCGCCCCACAGGGTCGAGTTTACCGTGAAGCCATCCCTTGAGGCGGCCTCGTAGTTGGAACGACATATGGCTGTGATGTTTGAGGCCGGGACAGCTCGGGAGAGGAGATAAGTATAGACGGCGCCGATGCTGCCTGTGCCGAAGACCAATATCCGGGGTGCCATGTTCTTTATCTAGTCCGTCTTTCTTGCAGTCCCGGTCCAATCTATTATGCTTTAGCGAACGGCGAATAGGTTCTCAAGGATGGAGTAAAGCAGACACAAATAAATACACAGCAACTGTGTATTGTGCTACATCATTTGGATCATGTTATTTGAGAGGGAACTGCATCCCCGCGCCCCCACCTATATCGGCCTGCTGCACGACCTTGAAGGGCGCAGGGCGCAAGAGTGATTTTGACAAACGCCAATGAAATAAATGATTATCAACAGAGGATGTCATTCTCCGATGTAAAGTAGAAAAAGGCAGAGATAAAAGTTTTGATACAAGACTAAAACAAATGTTGTAAAATTAACAAAGCATTTTACAAAATTATTAATAAAATACTCGAGCTTCTTTTTGGTAATGCCAATTTACTTTTCTTAAACAGAAAGACAAAAAAGTATATTTATATGAAAAGCAATCTTGACAACCGAAAGAACATGTAGCTCACCAAGCAGCAGATAAAATATTCTCAAAAAAATAAATCATGTTCATGCCCGGGCTCGAACCGGGGGCCTCTTGTGTACCAACAACCGTGAGGATGTGAGACAAGCGTGATAACCACTACACTACACGAACCACGACTGATGAAAGTTTGTGCTGTTATTGGAGTTCATAAAATGTTCAGAGCCGCCAAGCTGCATTGGGTTGGATCTGGTGGATACACGGTACATGGATACATTACTGCGGTTCGAATCAAATTGCCGGAATTCATCGTACTCTACAAGGTACATATACCACGTACGTCGAAGGTTCTTGGGTTCAGCCAGAGCCAACTGGATGCTGGCAAAATAACACGTTGAACAGCGTTCCATTGAAGGTTCACACGACTTTGCCAGCGTGCAGCGTCACAGCTCGTGTTCCGCCCATGGTTGTTCGAAACAGCCAAGACGTTTATGACCGAACGAGTCCGTAGCCGGAAATAGTCGTGCAGTGGTAACTCCGATTTATCCACAGCAGAGGCCTCTTGTGGATCTTCAAGACATGTCAAAATGCGGCGTCGACCCGCAAGAAATAACAGAAGCGAATAGAACAACGACCAACGACACTGACATTTAACGTTTGAGAGGACAGGACTGCGCCTCAGTATGGTCGTGACAGATTCCTCTAGTTTAAAGGGCCTTGAGTAGTTGCCGGTTGCTAGATGCATCGAGGCAGTATACGCGATTCACACCGCAGACTTGATCATCAAGAACGCCACAACTGGTTCTTCAGCCACAACTAGCCCCGCTATTAGTGCTGGGAGACTTGGGTCAGTTGGGCCTGGCCAGCATTTTAGCTCCCGTCCAAGCTTTCGATTTCCAATGGCTGGTAGCGGCACTTTGACATCATCGGTCGTGTTGTCAGTGCGTTGGAGGCCCTGGAACTGGAACTCTGTATTGATCATGCCAAAACCTGGAAAAAAAACTACAAGCCTGGGAAATGATGCGCTATAATTGCCGAACGGGCTCTCGTCGTCATGCAGTCACAGGCCACTCTCCTTCTGAGACATAAGAAAGCCCCCATATCGCCAAGGGCTCCAGATTCCTTCTCTGCAACTGCTGCTTCTTCTCCATAGAGAGCTAAGAGCGACCCGCCTGCCAGCACCCTCTGAAACCGAGCGCATCACTCGCTGCCATCCAATCAATTGACTCTGGTTGAGGTACCTCCGTGGTCAAACGCAAACCAATCCCCCAGCCAAAACCCTCAAAAGAGGCCGCGAGACAGTCGCTGCTCCTCCTATTACTCTTCTCTTCAACACACAAGAATATACAGACAAATTATCCATCAAGATGGCTAGCTTCATTGCAAAGAAGATTAGCACCAAGATCCTCGGTGAGACGATGGAGAACAAATGGGGTGTTAAGGTACGATAACTCAATTGAACATTTCTCGCCGTCGCAACGTACATACTCACACTCTCCCGATCACAGGATCCCATGTTCGAACATGTCCCCGCGACGAGACTCGATGGCAAGCCCAGCAAGAAGATGAAGAAGGTTAAGAGGGCCATTCCTCCGGGCATCTCCGAGCACGACGCTCAGATCCTCAACAAGGTCAAGAGGAGGGCCTACAAGCTGGATTTGAGCTTGTTCAGTATCGCTGGTGTCCGCTTCGGCTGGAGCAGTGTCATTGGCATAGTTCCCTTGTGAGTTCGCGACAGCCGCCCATGCGTATAGTACCACACAGCTAACTGACGGAAACCAGCGCTGGTGATTTTGTTGATTTCTTCATGGCCGTGATGGTCATTAGTACCGCCAAGAAAGTCGACGGCGGTCTTCCGTCTAGCGTCACGACGAAGATGTATTTCTGGGCTCTGGTCGACTTGGTCATCGGCTTCATTCCCTTCCTGGGCGATATCTTCGACGCCGTCATCAAAGCCAATGCGCGCAACGCCATCTACCTGGAAGAGCACCTACGCAAGAAGGGACAGCAGAACCTGCGTAAGAGCGGCCTGCCCGTCCCCGATGACCCCAGCGATCCCTACGTGTTCGACCACCTGGATGAAGAGCCGCAGAGCCGACGAACCGGCCACCGTTCTCAGGAGTCTGGTGTTGCAGCCAACCCAGACCTGCCCACGCGCCCCAACGATGCTCGGGTACGCAACGAACGTCGATCTGGAGGTGGCTTCTTTGGCTTTGGTGGCAGTCGAACTCGCGCCAACGACGAAGAGACTGGCATCGCCAACCAGCCACCGAAGTCGTCTCGCCGCGGTTAAATGCTTTCTCCAATTGATTTTTGAATTGGGGCGGAGAAGTTCCATTTGTCTCGCTGTTTGAAACGGGCTGGCCAAGTTGGAATTGCACCAGACCGCCTTCAATGTCGTCGCGGCAAAGATCTGGATCGCCCAGGGCGATTGCATCGATTCGTCCTGCGGACTTCATAATGTGTTACGAGAAAAAGAAAACGTTTGGTGTTTATGGTAACGACGGAGGATTGCAGATTTGATACCACTAAGAGCGTAATTTACAACCACGCGTTCATGCGAACATGAACGTTAGACCATAGTACGAGAATAATATTACCTTTTCTGTCCAATGCTCTAGACTTTGCTTTCCCTTCTTGTGGACTAAGAAACGAAGAAACATGTAAGTATAATATGATAGTCGTGGTGTGATGACTCGATGCAACGCGCATGCGGCAGTATCGAGAACACGCTGCTCCTGCACTATATAATGACAGCACTGTATGATGCGATGCATTGAGCCGCATACTTATGCGGGTTGGCGGGTCTCAATACTGAAGCTGTCACAGTATGCTGCTCACTGTGATGCTCTCGGATACTCCCTTTTTTACCTAAGATCAATGGTCTCAGAGTTCTGGCCATGATGATGACTCCATTAAACAACTGCAAGACGCGTATCCATGGATTGAATCGCGTCTCGATGGCGCCTAGTTTCAAGCTATTCAGGATCAGATAACTGTGTTCTCCACAATACCATCATCACCAATAATCAATTCCGACAGCTTCGACAGACCAAAAACCGAGCAATTTGTGGTTCTACTTCCGTAACTCCGAGAACCGGGCAGACGTGCAATCCCAGCTGAGCTTACGGATGGAGAACGGAGAATGGGGAATCTGTTTATCTGATCCAATCCTGCCTGATCGTCTCTGATGGCGCGTGTAAAAACAGCTGTGATGTTCGTGTTATTCGGGACCCCTGTCTGGGCTTTTTACGTACCTGACCGCACGCCAAGCCGACTCAGCCCACACTCGTTACATAGTACCAGAGATGCGGGACAGAGCGCGTATAGTGAATTCTAACCGTGTCTATGTTCGAGCGAGCAGCCATTTAAGAAGCTGTAAAGTTCAACAACATGGAAACCAACATGGTGCTTGGTCTGTAGACAAGTTTGTCTGCTTGTAACGCACAAAATATTGTAAACATGTAAATATGCAGGTGTACTAGAAGCTTGCTTTGATGTTGTTATTGGTACTGTTCTTACCTTACCTAGCCTCGTAGGACTCCCCGGAACTTGGAAACAAGGTCATGCACCAGTTCAGGCCAGTCAGAGTCCCGGAACAGGCGATCCTACGACCGATGCAGCCAAGCTGGGTGGAGAGGTACCATATTCCAATGTCTCACTTCCCAGCATGATATTCCATCCCTCGGATCGCCTGGGCATTTTAAGCTGGGGACCCGACGCGTGAAATTCGCGAAATCGGTCGGTGGCTGGGTGGGGTTGCCTTTAGTCCCACCTAGAGCTCGACAGGGAGGCGCGTCTTTGTGATTTTGCGCGTCAGGCCCAAAAGAATACTTAAAAAGGCCCGGTCGACACACTAGATGCGAAAGAATCATTCCTGTCAATATCAACTCAAACCACACAACTCCAAACCACCAACCCAACATAGACGCGTCTTTTCCCTTCTGCAGTCTTTTTTGGAATTCGAACAGTCACTGCCATTCACCCTCTATACACATCGCGGTCACAACATTCCCGTCGCAATGGCAACCGAGATCACTCCCTCCAAGAAGGTACGCAGTACATGACGTCGTAGCCAATTGGCGCGCCACCAATCCTAGACAAAGAGAACAACCCACGACTAACGCGTTCATCCGTTCACAGGCTGCCTCTGCTTTCGAGTCTCTCAAGATGGAGTCTCCCGTCAAGAAGATTGACTTCTCCGGCAAGGAGAACGCGCCTTTCGATGCCGACGCCCCCGCCGAGGTCGAGACACAGAAGCCCACCATGGACGACACCAAGGAGGTCGTCAAGGCTGGTGTAGCACCCACAATCAAGCCCGAGGAGGCCGACGAGCCCCTCCTGCAAGAGAACCCCCAGCGATTCGTCCTGCTTCCCATCAAGTACCACGAGGTCAGTATCGCCGACGCGTCTTTGACACGCGTATAGTGGTTCCGAGACGCGACAAAAGCTAACATTTGTTTCCCCACCATCAGATCTGGCAAATGTACAAGAAGGCTCAGGCTTCCTTCTGGACTGCCGAGGAGATTGATCTGTCCAAGGATCTCCACGACTGGAACAACAAGATCAACGAGGACGAGCAATACTTCATCTCCCACATCCTGGCCTTCTTCGCCGCCTCTGACGGCATTGTCAACGAGAACCTGGTTGAGCGTTTCAGCGGAGAGGTCCAGATCCCCGAGGCACGATGCTTCTACGGTTTCCAGATCATGATGGAGAACATCCACTCCGAGACCTACTCGCTACTCATCGACACCTACATCAGGGAGCCCAAGCAGCGAACCTACCTGTTCAACGCCATTGAGACCAGTACGTAGCCATCGGCGACACTCTGATTCCTTGTCAAAGCTAACCTCGATTCCAGTCCCCTGCATTCGCAAGAAGGCCGACTGGGCTCTCAAGTGGATCACTGACGAGGAGTCGACCTTTGCTCAGCGCTTGATCGCCTTTGCTGCCGTCGAGGGTATCTTCTTCAGCGGTGCTTTCGCCTCCATCTTCTGGCTGAAGAAGCGTGGTCTGATGCCCGGTCTGACCTTCTCCAACGAGCTCATCTCTCGTGACGAGGGTCTCCACACCGACTTCGCTTGCCTGTTGTTCTCTCACCTCAACAACCGCCCCAGCAAGGAGATTGTCCAGAAGATTATTGTCGACGCTGTCGAGATCGAGCAGGAGTT